TCAGTATGTTCTCACATTAATCCTATGTGGTAGATATTGTTATATTATCCCCATTTCACAGATGGGAAGCCTGAGGCACAGAAGGGTTAAGTGACTTACCTAATATCACAAGCTGGTGGAGCTGGAATTTGAACCTGGGCGGTTCTGCCCCTGTTATGTGCTCTGTACCACTTCTCAGGGCAGTGTGTGACACACAGTGATCAAAAAATTAGTTACATATGATGCCTTCCTGGATTTGGAGAGAGACATCTGTAGAATGCTGTGGAGGCCTGCCACTGTGTGTGATGGCTGCCTGGATTTGTGTGGTTAGCTGTCCTTTCATACCCCATGCTTTGGTTTGGAGCTGGCATGGAGTTGGCATAGTAACTTATAAATCCTGGTACTGTTTGTAACAACAGATGGTTTTGTCAGAAAATGGCCCTTTTCAGATTGCTAGTCACTGTTTCCTAGCAACCTATGGCTAAACTACAATTTTTTTTAATTAAAAAAATCAGTGTTCTCCCCCCACCCAGTACAGAAGTAACATTGCATTATTTTTGGAAAATGGGAGAAAAACATTTTAATTATGCATAATCCTACTACCTCCACTATCATCATTTTGCTGTTTTTCTTTCCAGTCTTTTTTCATGTTTGTTTCTTTCATGGTTGCAATTTTAGTAGTCATGTAACTATGCAGTTTCGTATATTTTTTAAGTATTTCATTTTCCTGACTATTAATACATGTTCAATATTTGTTAAAGTCTAAAGAAAATAGAATTCGTCTGCAAGCCTACCATCAGAGTTAGCCAGTGTTAACATTTTAGGGTATTTTTCCCCTAGTCATTTCCTTCTGGTAGCTTATATATTATATAAAGACTTTTTATAAAATTGGTATTATATTGTTGTATAATTTGCTTTTCTTCACTTATTGTAAGTGAACATTCCTTTTTGTGAGGGAATGTCTCAAACCTGACTTTTAAATGGCTGCAGAGTCATCACTGGTATGATTAACATAATTTGTTTAGTTCACTTACATTGTTGGTCATAACCGTGAGGATGGTGTTTTGTCATCTTGTTTTGTGCTTTCTCTTTTATAGTTTGCCACACTAGTTTGAAGGTATATTTCTGAGATCTTTATAATACTTCTTCCATTCACCCTGCTTATATTTGCCTCCCCTGAACAAACTTTCCTGACATGCTGAGTATGGAGAGGGGATGAGAACATTGGTAGTCTTGGAAATGGCCCTAAAGGAAGTGAAATAAACCTCATTTCCGATTTTGCCAGTTGCTAAGTGTCCCCCTTTTGTCCCCCTTTTAACAGATTTCCTGGGTAAAGCTGTTAAGTCACATTTAACAGATAAGTTACTTTTATATGCTCACCCCTCTAGGCTCAGGCAAAGCAACGAGCTGGCAGAGCTGGGAGAACGGGGCCAGGGAAGTGTTACAGGCTGTACACAGAACGTGCCTACCGAGATGAAATGCTGACCACCAACGTGCCAGAAATCCAGAGAACCAACTTAGCCAGCACAGTGCTGTCGCTCAAGGTAGAAATCACTGTCTCGTTAGAGTGGGTTGGTGGAACAGTCCAGTCCTACGGCCTTAGTAAATGAATCTCAGTTTTATGAAGCTTGTTAAATACTTTAGTAACCTCATGGAACCAGTCCCTTTGAGTAAAATGCAAATGGCTGCGATAACAGCCTCTCACGGTGGGGCTGGGGCTAAGTTGGCATGTCTGCTGTGAACACATTTTTTCTTACTATAATAACCAGCAGGACATTTGTTTGTAAAAGGTTTTATTTAGGAGCATTTTCTAAAAAGAAATTAGAAAAATATAATCAGTGCCGAACTGTGGACAAACACACTTAACCTCAACCACTTTAACGTTCAGATCCAATTCTGTTCTTTTAGAATGGGAGGAAAGCTCCCTATCTGAAAACTTTTCAAGAGAACTGTCAGTGACATTTCAGACTGGCCCTCAGGGCTTGGTTTTCATTCTGAATCATTGCTCTTCCTAAGTCCCCAGCGAGGACCTTCATTCTCTTTTGGCAGGAGGAGCCGCATGAGTAATTTCCCAGCTGATGGCATTTCCCCCGACACTGATGTTACCCTGGAGCCCTGGCACTTTGCTGGTGCAGAGTGCTCTGTTGCCATTTATTATTCATTCCCTGCAAGAGAGGCTAAACAGAGCTTCAGAAAAAAACCTGCTCCAGTCTCTGGAGTACCAACAGAGAGGCATCTGTGGCTCAGACTTCAGCTCTGAGTTGTGTGACCTTGGGCAAGTTGATCTACTCTGCCTTCTGCTTTGTGTTCTCATCTCAAAAAAGGGGCTGGTAATAGTATCCATTGCAAAGATAAGTGAGATGGTGCAGGTAAAGGCGTTTGGCACGGTGCTTAATGATTGCTAACATAATTCCTCATAGTTATTATTCATACGATAAGCATTCATTGAACATCTGCTGTGTTTATGGTCATGATCACTTTATGAGAAAGAAATAGAAAGTTCAGGTCCTACCACATCACCCTTTATACACACTTGAATAGTAGTACATCATTCAGTCATTTCTTTTATTCATCAAATTAGCTAGCAAGTGTATTGGACACCTACTAGGTGCCAGGCATGTTAATTGCACTGTGTCGTGGTTTTGTGAACGTGGCTCTCTCCCACTGTGAACTCTTTGAGAGCACGGGCCATCTCTTAGTCATCTTTATATCCCTCCCACCTAACGTGGGATGAGGTTCTTCATAGATGCATAGTAGGGATGATGTGTGCAAGAGACAGAGCAAGGTGGTTTACTATCTTTTTTTATTATTATTGTGGTAAAATACATATAACATAAAATTTACTATTGTAATCTTTTTTAAGTGTACAATTCAGTGGCATTAAATACATTCAGAATGTTGTACAACCATCACCAGTGTCCATTTCCAGAACTTTTTCATCATCCCAAACAGAAACTCTGTACCCATTAAGCAATAACTTAACCTTTCCCCCTGCCCTCTAGCCCTTTGTGACCACTATTCTATTTTCTGTCTCTATGAATTTACCTGTTCCAGGTATCTCATATAAGGGGAACCATACTCTGTTTGTTCTTTCATATCTGGCTTATTTCACTTAGCATAATGTTTTCAAGGTTTATTCATGTCGTAGCACGTATCAGAATTTCATTCCTTTTATGTATGTGCCACATTTTGTTTATCCATTCATCAGTTGATGGACATTTGGGTTGTTTCCACCTTTTGGCTATTGTGAATAATGCTGCTATGAACATTAGTGTTTGAGTCTTAGCTTTTAACTCTTTTGGATATATACCTAGAAGTGCAATTGCTAGATCTTATGGTAATTCTATGTTTAACCTATTAAGGAACCACTGAACTGTTTTCTACAGTGGCTATACCATTTTATACTCCTACCAGCAAGAGATCTCCTCTTTCTCCTCTCCTTGCCAACACTTATTATTTTCTGGGTTTTTTTTATTATAGCCATGCTAGTGGGTATGAAGTGGTATCTCATTGTGGTTTTGATTTGCATTTCCCTAATTACTACTGATATTGAGCATCTTTTCATGGCTTCTTGGACATTCGTATATCTTCTTTTGTTGTTGAGTTGTATATATTGTCATTTTGAGGGAGTGTTTTTTTTAAAGTTTCCTGAGAAAGTACATGCTTAATAGTCTGAGTTTTGTGTGGCCCAGCCCTGGAAGTTACTGCTAATCTTGCTGTGGCTTCCTAAATGCAGTTGAAGAAATAGGAAAGAAAATGACAAGTTGCCTCCCCCACCTATTAACACTGGCTAGACTGACCCTCCTGTCACATGCTTTCTACCCTTCTGTTCTAGGCCATGGGCATCAATGACCTGCTGTCCTTTGATTTCATGGATGCCCCACCAATGGAAACTTTGATCACAGCCATGGAGCAGCTGTACACACTGGGGGCCCTGGATGACGAAGGCCTGCTCACTCGCCTGGGACGCAGGGTAGGGGACAAACTTAACTCCCTGTGCTTTGGGGATGATTCCCTGGTCAGCCTTTCACATTCTTTGATCTATGCAAAATCAAGCTCTAAGGTCCTGGACAAGCTTTAATTAGAATTCTAGATGTTTTTTTTTTTTTTAGAACGTGAGTTCCACTATCACCTTAAATGGTTTCTTCTTTATAGAGAAAGAGATTCTATTCACAGTTAATTTTACCTCAGGATATATATATTTTTTAGATAAAGTCTCGCTCTGTCACCTGGCTTAGAGTGCCATGGCATCCTCACAGCTCACCGCAACCTCAAACTCCTGGGCTCAAGCAATCCTCCTGCTTCAGCCTCCCAAGTAGCTGGCTAATTTTTTTTACTTTTGTTAGAGATGGTGTCTTGCTGTGTTGCTCAGACTGGTCTCGAACTCCCGGCCTCAAAGATCCTCCCTCCTTAGCCTCCCAAAGTGCTAGGATTACAGGCATGAGCCATCATGCCCTGCTCCCAGGATATATTATAGAGTCTAGCCTTAATTATAAAAAGCGTTTGCAAAATTCCCACCTACCCCAATAGTAGTTATGTATTTAGTCACATACATTCCATTGGGGTTTATATGGGAAAGGAAAAAACAACAGCATTCTTCTGATAGAGAAGGCATTACACATCGTGCTTTGGGGAAGTGTATGCTATTACCCACACTGACCAGTGTCGCTCTGGGGAATCCAGATGTGTCTTCCACAGGGAAGCAGTTGTAGTTTTTTTTTCTCCCTCTAGATGGCAGAGTTCCCTCTGGAGCCAATGCTGTGCAAAATGCTCATCATGTCTGTGCATCTGGGCTGCAGTGAAGAAATGCTGACCATTGTATCCATGCTGTCTGTGCAGAACGTCTTCTACAGGCCCAAGGTAGGGAGTTCAGACCCACGTTCAGATAGGGGTGCTGTGAAGTTGGGTAAAGTTAGCCTGTTGCCATTCCAATGTTTGATGCAGACATTTAATAGGGCCATGTAGGGCTCCCTAGAACTGCTGGATGTTCAGTTAGTAGCTGTTGAATGGGAAATGATCCTTTGTCCTGCTGCTTGGCAGGATAAACAAGCCCTTGCAGATCAGAAGAAGGCCAAGTTTCACCAGACCGAGGGGGACCACCTCACCCTGCTGGCTGTGTACAACTCCTGGAAGAACAACAAGTTCTCCAACCCATGGTGCTATGAGAACTTTATCCAGGCTCGTTCCCTGCGCCGGGCCCAGGACATTCGCAAGCAGATGTTAGGCATAATGGACAGGTAAGCGGAATCTGGTGACTTCGCACGTTTGGGTTGAACCTCCTTGAGTATCATGTCTGTGTCCATGTGTACTATGAAGCCACAGGCACCTGCTCTCTTGCTCCTCCCAGGGCCTTTTTCCTCCAGCTTTTCCATCTTTGTTATACTCCTCCCCAAGCAAGGGTATGGCTGAGAATCACTTGAGAAAGTTACTAAGAGGAAGGTGATTTATTAGTTGCTGGAAATGTTCTTTGTTTAAAAGCCTCTGGAACATTATTAGTTTGGAATTGAATTCTTACCTAAGCGAAGCATCTGGCTCTTACTGCCTCCATCTTGCCCTCTGTATAGAGCTGCCTGTGTAGCATGCTTAGGGCTGGAAGGAAGGTCCTGGTGACTACTCTGGGGACCCCAGGATGGGGGGTGTTGGGTACTGCCATTCTAGAAGATAGAACCTCTGAAAGCAGAGTAGACTCACATCTTTGTCCTGTCTTGATAGACACAAGCTGGATGTCGTTTCCTGCGGCAAGTCCACAGTCCGAGTGCAGAAGGCCATCTGCAGTGGGTTCTTTCGTAATGCAGCCAAGAAAGACCCGCAGGAGGGTTACCGGACACTGATCGACCAGCAGGTGGTCTACATCCATCCTTCCAGTGCTCTCTTCAACAGACAGCCGGAATGGTAGGTGGGCAGGTCCTGGGTCTTTCCTGGGCATAGAGAACCTGTAAATCTCCTGGCACTTTGCTTTTGTCTTCACCACCCTCAGTACTTCCTATTCTAACATTGCTTATATTTCTAGAGCAGCAGAAGCCTATAGTAGGCACAGCATATCAAGCCCTATTGAGAGGAATAAAACGATAGGGGTGAGAGCTAGGAGAGATCTTACCTGATGCGGTAGTTTAAAAAACTTACTTAAGGC